TCTCGACCCACACCCCCCCCCCAACAGTGTGTGAGGCCAACCTACCCCCCCCCCAATGCTACTGCTCTGTCAAAGTGGCCGACTTCGACTGTTCCACATTCAGCATCTGTGCAGATTGTTCTCCAGTTCCGCACAGACCCCTGTTCTAGGGAAACAGTTTATCAAATAGGGCTTCAAAACACACGGCATTCACATGACGCAGCCTTATCAGGTCTCAGAACACCGAATCGAATAGGGGAGGATTTTATAACGCATAAAATTTTATTTAATTCATCCAATGCCTCCCCGGAGAACTATTATAAAAAAGTAATAGCTGTTTGGTATCCTGTTATAAGCTATATGTTAGACATAGAAATCATTCCTGATAATCCACATTTAATTCATCCAATGCCTCCCCGGAGAATTATTATAAAAAAGTAATGGCTGTTTGGTATCCTGTTATAAGCTATACGTTGGACATAGAAATCATTCCTGATAATCCACAATATAAGAAGAAAAGATTGGATTTATACCCCGCCCTTCACTACCTGAAGGAGTCTCAGAGCGGCTCACAAACTCCTTTCCCTCCCCCTCCCCACAACAGACACCCTGTGAGGTAGGCGGGGCTCAGAGAGCTCTGAAAGAAACTGCCCTTTTTCAAGGACAGCTCTTGTCAGAACTACGGCTTGCCCAAGGTCATCCAGCAGCTGTGAGTGGAGGAGTGGGGAATCAAACCCGGTTCTCCCAGATTAGAGTCCGAGCACTTAACCACTACACCAAACTGGTGTATTTTTGAATTATTTGAATTATTTTTGCATTCTGCATTTGAAGTTATTTCTGATGTATAGTTCTTTGAACTGAGTAGCAAGATGTGTATTGTAAAGTTGCTGCTTTATTATCGTTGTTGTAACTATTCAAAAAATTGTTAACTAAAAAAAAGAAGAAGGTATCAGGACGTTGGTCCATCAAGGTCAGTCTTGTCTACTCGGCCTATTTGGCTCTCCAGGGTCCCAGGCAGAGAAAGGGCTTTCCCATCACCTACTACCTGGTCCTTTCTAACGGGCGATGCCAAGGATTGAACCTGGGACCTTCTGCATGCAAAACAGCGGCTCTTGCACAGACCCACAGCTCCTCCCCGTAAAACATGGATACTCAATCAGGCTGTGGGTCCAACAAAGCCAGTTTGGTGTAGTGGTTAAGTGCGCGGACTCTACTCTGGGAGAACCGGATTTGGTTCCCCCACTCCTCCACTTGCAGCTGCTGGATGACCTTGGGCAAGCCGTAGTTCTGTCGGAGATGTTCCTGATAAAGAGCAGTTTTGGTCAGAGCTCTCTCAGCCCCACCTACCTCAAAGGGTGTCTGTTGTGGGGAGGGGAAGGGAGAGGAGTTTGTAAGCCGCTCTGAGACTCCCTTGGGTAGTGAAGGGCAGGGTATAAATCCAATCTTTTCTTCTTCTTCTCAGACTGGGAGGGGCTTTCCAGGGTCCCCAGGCTGAGGTCTTTCACGTCACCTGCTACCTGATCCTTTTGACTGGGAATGCTGGGGACTGAACCTGGGATGTTTCGCACGCCAAGCAGAGGCTCGACCAGAGCCACGCCTCTCCCTGTTGCTGCATTCCAAGTCATTCCCACCTGGCTCCACGTAGGGGTTGGGCCCTCGCCGGCCTGCCCTGCCCATGTGCACCGCTGCAGCTTGCCTTCCGTGGTGCGGGGCGTCTCACCTTAAGAATGAAGTCGGGGGGTGTGCCGGGCCTCACTGTGGGCCTCAGGACCCCATCGTGATGGGAGTGGATGAGCGTCTCGTCCAGGTCTAGGACGAGAATCTTTCTCTTCACCTGATCTGCCAAAGAAGGGAAGGGAGAAAAAGGAAGGAGACGGGGTCAGAGGGAGGCCAGCAGTGTGTCCCTCTCAGCCGAGTTATTTATTTATTTATTAAATGTATTATATCCCGCCCTTCCCAAATGGGCTCAGGGCGGGTAACAACAAAGTGCTTGAACAATTAACAACGAAGTGCGTAAACAATTAAAACCAATAATACAATTAATTCTTAAAACAGCTAAAACCCCGACACAGTTTAAAGACGGCGCATTAAATATAGCAATTCAGACCCTCCCAATAAGCCGGACTGGTGGTGCTGGAGCCGGATCAGGTTCATAGAGTACCAGACTCCACGCAGGACAAATACTCAGGGCAACACGTATGCATGGAGGCCACCTCCACCGCCTCAACTAAAAGCCTGGTGGAACGGCTCCGTTTTACAGGATTATTGCGGACCAACAGTTCTCAACTTGGGCTGAATCAGGAGGTTCTCAAAACTAACTGGAGCCCCGTGCTGTATTAGCCTATTAGTGTGAGCCAGCTCACAGTTTTTTAGCCTCCGGCTCATGCATTCTTGTCTCAGCTCAGGAAGGGATGGGGCTCCAGAGCGAACTGATTTATGCAGCAGCCAAATTGCTCGCTCACAACTTTAATGCCAGGAGCTCACAGAGTAGGATTTTTGCTCACAAGACTCCACAGCTTAGAGGAAACACTGGAGCCCAGATATTCCACTTGCTTTCCACCCCCTCTACAGGCCCCTTCTAATATCCTGCACAATCCCAGGAGGAAAATATATATATATATTGGTAAGGGCCACACTTACTGAGCCGTTCCCGTGAGACTTTGGAAAGGGGAAGGATATCGTAGCGCACCGTCTGATACTGGATCACCTGCCAGAAGGAAAAGAAAGAATTCTGAATGTTTACTAAAGGCCGCAACCCTTCGTAACGTAACTGACTGCATGAATGTTTGCATCCAGAGCCAGTTTGGTGTAGTGGTTAGGAGTGCGGACTCTAATCTGGGAGAACTGGGTTTGTTTCCCCACTCCTCCACTTGCAGCTGCTGGTGTGACCTTGGGCAAGCCGTAGTTCTGATAAGAGCTGTCCTTGAAAAAGAGCCGTTTCTGTCAAGAGCTCTCTCAGCCCCACCTGCCTCACAGGGTGTCTGTTGTGGGGAGGGGGAGGGAAAGGAGTTTGTAAGCCGCTCTGAGACACCTTTGGGGAGTGAAGGGCGGGGTATAAATCCAATCTCTTCTCTTCTTCAGAGTGCCCCCCCATGGCAATTCATACAAGGAATCATGGGAAACACACATCTAAGAGGGAGACTTTGGTGGTGGAAAGTGCCCGCAGGTCACAGCCGACTTCTGGCGACCCCTGAAGCACTCTGCCACCGCCTGCCTCTGCACAGCCAGGCTGGACTTCCCTGGGGCGGTCTCCCCTCCGAGTACTGAGCAGGGGTGGCCTGGCCTGGCTCCTGAGGTCTGACAGGACCAGGGTTGCCTGGGCCATCCAGGTCAGGGCTGTGAGACTTTAGGGCATCCCAAAGCCCAGAAGATGGACACTCTCAGAGAAGGAAAAGCATTTGTGAACAAAGTGATGCAGAGAACGGGGAGCGGGAAGGCGGCTGGAATGGAGAGTTATCAAGAAATCTGCCTCAGTCTTGCTCCCTTTGCTACTCTTAAGGCGAGGGCCTTCCTCTCAGGGAAAAGGGCAGAGGGTGAGATGGAACTCGGCCTCCGGCCCCCCCCGTCTAGGACTGACATTTGCACGAGACTCAGCTTCAGAACCCCAGCCCATGGACTGCCCGCCCCCCCCACTTCCGGGTAGAGCACCTAGGCAGCAAGGGAAGCCCGAGTCCCCCTCCTGCTGTCCTTTGGAGCCCTGGTGCCAGCAGTGGAACCTCCTTGGTCATCCAGGTGGCCCTATGAGGCAAGATTCTGCAGATGCCTGTGCAAAGAACCTGACTCTGTTCATCACATTCTCGTAAACCGCCCGCTGTTTACTCCGCTGCGTGCACATTTGATTAGTCCCCTCCTCCAACTCTCTAAGGCTGCGACCGATAGAGGTACTGAATTCTTGCTAGCAGACAAAAACCACAAAGTTACTGAGCAGGTGGCAGAGTTCCTGGCAAACGTACTCGGGGCCAAGAAAAAGAGGAAAGAATAGAGGGAAGAGGAAGAGGTAAGGAGATGGAGAGTGAGAGAGAGAGAGAGATAAGGTGTGTCAATCCTCTTTGGATAGTTAAACTTCTTATTGTAACTGTTTTAATTACTGCGATATTCAGGATTACTGTTCCAAATTTTTATCATTCTGTCCTATTATCTTTATTATATACAGTGCTACGAACTGCTATACCCTGACTGTCTTCCTTTGTTGACATATGGGTTGATTTGTACTGATATTCCTTTCATAGAGTTACTGTATGCCAATAAAGGTTATTGGAATTGGTTATCAAGGTGCATCAGCCCTGCAAGCTGCAGCTGAAGACCTTGTTTTTTTTAACTAAGCCCTTTCTTTGGCAGACAGCCTGTGCCCCCCGTCCCACTGCTTTCAAGGAATCCGCTGCTGTTAATTGCAGCCTTACCAGACTTGACCCGTTGCTCCTTTCTGCACAGTTTGACTGCAGGAAAAGGGACTCTGCGCTCTGCCCCAGCTCAGAAAGGAGAAGGGACCCCTGCAAACAACCGTGTCCCGTCTCCCCCACCCAGGGGTCGTTTTGTAGAAAAAGAGCTAGGGGAACTCATTAGCATAACTCATTAGCATATGCCACACCCCCTGACATCACCGGAAGTGTGTCATAAGGCCACACACTCCACCCCCAACGGTCCCGGCCGCCATCGCCAGCCTTGCCGCTCCACTGCCGAGCCCCATGAGGGGCCTGGCGGTGGACCTGCAAGGCCGGCGGGAGTGCGAGGAAGCCCCGCGAAGGCCCTCCCTAGCCCCAGGCAGGCAGGGGTGGGGAGAGGCGGGGAGGAAGCAACTTACCCTCCCTCTTCTCCTGCCTCCCCCTGGCTGAATGAGGGCCGGAAGCGGGGCGGCCAGAAGCAGGGGGCGGGGCTTTGTCATGTGCCCCGCCCCCCGTACCTCACCTGGGGGAACTGCGATCCCCCGCGAAATGACCCCTGCCCCCACCCTACCAAGACCTCCCACCCCACGATTCCCTGTGCTCTCAGGGTCTTGAGAGGGGCTCAGCCCTCCTTAAGTCATTTTTGGAGTCTCTCTGTTGGCTAATTTACAAACCTTTCACCGTATTTGGGGGAGTCCTGAGCAGTGTCCCCTCTCGGCTGAGTTAGTGTGAGCCAGCTCACAGTTTTTTAGCCTTTGGCTCACCCATTTTTGTCTTTGTTCGGGCAGGGACGGCTCCAGAGCAAACTAATTTATGCAGCAGCCAAATCGCTCGCCCGCAACTTTCATGCCAGGCGCTCACAAGGTAGAATTTTTGCTCACAAGACTCCACAGCTTAGAGGGAGCATGGGTCCTGAGTACACAGAGCTCCACCCCCGCCCCTTTTGGTGGCCAGCCTGATTGGCAGGGCAGCCAACCACGCTACGTTTAGGTCCAGCAATGTACCTGGAGCCCTCAGGAGACTTCAAGTATGCCATACCAAATGCCGAGGAGGAAGTAGCAGCATGTGCAAAGTAAAAGTAAAGGTTTCCCTTACTCAAAAGCCAGGCGAATTCAACTCTGGGGGGGGGTGTTTCCAAGCCGAAGAGCCAGCGCTGTCTGAAGACATTTCTGTGGTCGTGTGGCCGGCATGACTAGATGCCGAGGTGCACGCAACACTGTTACCATCCCCACCGAAGCGCTATCTATTTATCTACTTGCAATTTTCCTGCTTTCAGACTGCTACATCGGCAGGAGCTGGGGCCAGAAACGGGAGCTCACTCCGTCACGCGGCACTCGAGTCTCCAACTGCCAAACTACCGACCTTCCGGTCTGCAGCTCGGCGTCTTAACCACTTGAGCCACCGCGGCCCCTAATGTATCCCAGTCCCAGCAGTGTGGCTGCCCTGCCCATTCGCTGCTGAACTGGAGGGTCAGCGTAACCGGACTGGGTGTTATTCCGCAGACGCAAGGCCCCAGGCTGCTGCCATTTCAACGAAGGGGACCTTTCTGGGACAGGTCAAGGCCACTTCCTCATCCCACTGGCGCAGTGCACGTGGAACGGTCTCCGTGGCCCTTTGTGCGAGTTGCACCCGTCGCCCAGCCTTTACCCCGACCTGCGTGGCCCCGGCCAGCCTGATCTCATCAGCTCTTGGAAGCTAAGCAGGGTCGGCCCTGGTTAGTCCTCAGGTGGGAGACCACCAAGGGTTGCTGTGCAGAGGCAGGCCGTGGCAAACCACCTCTGCTCGTCTCCTGCCTTGAAAACCCTACCGGGCTGCCGTGAATCAGCTGCAACTTGAAGGAACTTTCTGCTACTGTTCAAGGCTTCCCTGACCTTGATGATACAGGCGATCCCGACCTTGTCAGACAGAAGAAGAAAGAAGAGGAGGAGAAGATTCGATTTATCTCCTGCCCTTCACTCGGAGTCTCAGAGCGGCTTACAAACTCCTTTCCCTTCCCCTCCCCACAACAGACACCCTACGAGGTAGGTGGGGCTGAGAGAGTTCTTGACAGAAACTGCTCTTTTTCAAGGACAGCTCTTGTCAGAACTACCTCTCGCCCAAGGTCACATCAGCAGCTGCAAGTGGAGGAGTGGGGGAATCAAACCCAGCTCTCCCAGATTAGAGTCTGCGCATTTAACCACTGCACCAAACTGGCTCACTAAGCAGGGTCAGCCCTGGTTTGTGCTTGGATGGGAGACCAGCAAGGAAGCCCTGGGTCGCTCCACAGAGGCAGGCGATGGAAAAATGCCTCTGAACGTCTCTTGGCCTCCAAAGCTCTGCGGGGCGGCCCTCAGCGGGCTGCGACTTGCTAGCATGCCAAGTAAGGTCATGGGGACCAGGCTTTCTGGGCAACGGGACAAAGCCAAAGAGGAATCAGAGTTCCACCACTGCCAAAGTGGGTGTGAAAAGCACACAAGAGGGGTATACTTGTAGGCAGTGTTCCCTCTAAGCTGAGTTAGTGTGAGCTAGCTCACAGTTTTTCAGCCTCCAGCTCACAGGTTTTTGTCTCAGCTCAGGAAGGAGGGCTCCAGAAGCAAACTAATTTATGCAGCAGCCAATTTGCTCGCTCACAACTTTAATGCCAGCAGCTCACAGAGTAGAATTTTTGCTCACAAGACTCCACAGCTTAGAGGGAGCATGGCTTGCAGGGCATCTGGATCCCGCCTCTGCTGAGGCAGCACACGCGTTTTCTAACTAAATAAACCAACACTTGACCACCGAAGTTAACAGTGGCAAATCAACCACTGCTGTTTGAAGAGGGGAGGCAGGAACCCCCACTGAACACAGAGGTTTATGAGCCCTAGAATGAGCAGAGCTCCAACCGGAAAAGAGCTCTCTGGACCCTGCGTGCAAGACCCTCTGGACCCCTGGGAGGGAGCCGGAGCCCATGCTGGTCGTGGCCCTCTGCCAAGGGCCTGGGAGTCAGCCGCTCCCATTGGGCGGAAGGGTCCAATGGAGGGACTCCACCGGAGACAGCTCCTTATCTCTCCTCCTGCCACCAGATCTATTCCCGTCCCCCACCTGCTGCCTTTCCTCAAATGGCCCTGTCCCTCTCCTGCAAGGGCATCGGGGTGGGCACAGACCCAACGACTGCACGGCAGCTGCCCCTCGAGTGCCCCGGCATGCACCTGCACGGTCGACACCCTCCCACCCACCCCCTCTTCCAAAATTAGCCAACCTAACCGCCCTGATCTGGGATCGCCTTCCGGCCTCTGGCGGAGTGCCCGTGGGGTGAGTGCAAGGTGCCGAGGTGAACCAGCGGATGAAGGCGAGACTTCTGTACCTCTGAAACTACCTTCCATGCTTTGAACTCTCTGTGGCAGAGTCACGGGGAGGATTTGAACTCAGAGCATAAGCAGACCACAGGGGCCCAGAAAGGACTTTCTCATTAGCCTGCACAGACCCCACCAAGACATTCTGCCTTCACAGACCTCCTTCCTACTGGAGCAAATCCAGATGGGTGGCTGTGTTAGTCTGTCTGTAGCAGCAGAAACCTAGCAGTTCGAAAGCAAGAAACTGCAAGTAGGTACCGCTTTGTGGGAAGGTAACAGCGTTCCGTGCGCCTTGGTGTTTAGTCATGCCGGCCATATGACCAGAGAAACGTATTCGGACAGCGCTGGCTCTTCGGCTTGGAAACGGAGATGAGCACCGCAACCCTAGAGTCGGATTCGACTGGCTTGCGAGCAAGGGAGCCTCTACCTTCTACTAGCAGCAGAAAAGAGCCAGGGGAGGAGCTTTCGTCAGTCACTGGCTCACTTCTTCAGATACCTTTGGCAGTGTTGTGGCTGCCCTATCCATTCACTGCCCGAAGAAGTGAGCCAGTGACTCACGAAAGCTCCTCCCCTGCCACCGATTCTGTGAGTCTTTAAGGTGCTCTTGGACTCCCTCTCTTTTCTGCTGGAGCAGAATTCAAGGCAGCTCGCAGGGGATTCCCGGGCAACCTCCCGAACGAGCGAAACCCTGAGCAGACACAGATGAATCTCAGCAAGGCCTGCCCTGTTGTGTGCCCTCAGGGGCACTTCTCTGGGGCCCGCATGCCCAGGCAGACTTCCTCCGAGGCACACGAAGGGAAGGACGCCCTCCTACTTCAGGAGACCTAGATTCATGTCCAGTGGCGCCTTAAAGATCAAGATTTGGGACGGTATAAGCATTCGTGAATCAGACGTTTGACAAAGGGAGCTGTGACTCCTGAACGCTTACACTTTTGAAAATCTCTGAAGGTGCTACTGGACTCGCACGTACCTCTTCCACTGCAGACCAAGCCAACTACCCTCTGAAACGATCCTGTTTTGGGGCATCTCCAACCAAGTACTCAACCCAGCTGCTGAGGCCCCTAGAAATTCTACGACAGTGACCATGAAAACGATAAGTCTGAAGGGACAGATGAACAGCCAACGTTTCATACACTGCATGACCCTGTGGTCTATGGGGAAAATGGGATAAAAGCCTGAGGCGGCCAGAGCTGAAATGCAGAGACTTCAAATCGCTCCCCTGCCCTAACCCTCCCATGCCTAGGGGAAAGCCCTCTTATTCTCAGACCCACCCGTACCCATGGACACACAGGTTGAGGCCGTGGCCAGGTGGGCTCTCTTTCACCTTCACTTGGTTTGGAAGCTGTCCCCCCTTCAGCCTCTGCTGCCCTACACACCTCGCCCCAAGCTTTGTGACCTCCAGCCTGGACTACTGGAGCACGTACTACATGGGGCTGCCCTTAAAGGCGACCCAGAAGCTTCAAGTGCAGAATGCATTTGCTCCTTTACTCAGAAGGTTGAGGTGCTACGTATGAGCTTACCCCAGCTTCAGAGTTCAGTTCAAGGCGTTCACTGCCATCTTTAAAGCCCTTCACAGTCTGAGACTGGCCCTCCCAGTATCAACTTCTCTGCCGGCTACACACCTCACGCCGGTTCCTGCTCCCAGAGTACCCGCTTTTGGCCCTGCCCGTTTTGAGACATTTCCATCCATCACCCTGTGTTGTGGAACAGGTACCAGAGGTGGACCAGAAAGCATCATCACCAAGGACTTTTCGCAAGGCCTGTTTTTTCTCCCCTGTGGGCTTTTCTGTAGGGAACACTATTAAAACCAAAGTGCATGGTTAGTATGTAGTTAAAGGGCCCTGATGACTTCGGAGGTATCAACTTCTCTGCCGGCTACACACCTCATGCCGGTTCCTGCTCCCAGAGCACCCACTTTTGGCCCTGCCCGTTTTGAGACATTTTCATCCATCGCCCTGTGT